TTACACCCCTTACGCCCCTTACACCCCTTGCACCCCTTACACTCCGTACACCCCTTACGCCCCTTACACCCCTTCCACCCATACACCCCCCTTACACTCCTTACACCCCTTGCACCCCTTGCCCCCCTTGCATCCCTTGCACGCCTTACAACCCTTAAACCCCAGAGGTGCCTGAGACGCTTGCGGTTCCTCTATGCTGTGTAGTATATAGATATATACTATGGTGTTTACTAGTATAGGAGAGTATAGAGTATAGTAAAAAAGTAGAGTATAGTATATCGTACGGTATATTGTAAAAACTATATAGCCCACACTGTAGTATTGTCTTTACTCTAGTGTCCAGTATAGAGTGTAGTATTGTATATAGTATCGTATGCAGCATAGTGTCTGGTATATTGCAGTACATAGTCTAAAGCTTACAGTTTATAGTATATATATATATAGTCTGGAAAGTTTTTAGTCGAACACCTTAAAGTCAAAAAGCAAACACGTATGGAATCACTGAGTGTTTCAAGAACCAATGATTTTATTTGCAGAATATCCTGGTGTAGAGAACCCTGTGGCCCCTGATACGAAATCAATGATTGTTTGAAGAGCTCAGTCAATTTACTTGTAGAATACCCTGCTGTAGAGAATTCTGCGGCCCCTGACACATGTGAATGAGCCGAACATCATAAAGTCAATAAGTAAACACATGTGAAATCAATGAGTGTTTGTAGAACCAGTCATTTTATTTATAGAATACCCTGGTGTAGAGAATTCTGTGGCTCCTTTGCCCCAGCCTCACAACCCACCAACCCCCCGCCCACTCCTAGTAACTAGTGGGGCGTAGTAGGTAGTAGGAAGTAGGAGCAATAGTAGTAGTAGTAGTAGTAGTAGTAGTAGTAGTAGTAGTAGTAGTAGTAGTAGTAGTAGTAGTAGTAGTAGTAGTAGTAGTAGTAGTAGTAGTAGTAGTAGTAGTAGTAGTAGTAGTAGTAGTAGTAGTAGTAGTAGTAGTAGTTAGTAGTAGTAGTAGTAGTAGTAGTAGTAGTAGTAGTAGTAGTAGTAGTAGTAGTAGTAGTAGTAGTAGTAGTAGTAGTAGTAGTAGTAGTAGTAGTAGTAGTAGTAGTAGTAGTAGTAGTAGTAGTAGTAGTAGTCGTTGTCGTAGTAGTAGTAGTAGTAGTAGTAGTAGTAGTAGTAGTAGTAGTAGTAGTAGTAGTAGTAGTAGTAGTAGTAGTAGTAGTAGTAGTGTAGTAGTAGTAGTAGTAGTAGTAGTAGTAGTAGTAGTAGTAGTAGTAGTAGTAGTAGTAGTAGTAGTAGTAGTAGTAGTAGCAGTAGCAGTAGCAGTAGGAGTAGCAGTAGCAGTACCAGTAGTAGTAGTAGTAGTAGTAGTAGTAGTAGTAGTAGTAGTAGTAGTAGTAGTAGTAGTAGTAGTCGTAGTCGTGGTGGTGGTGGTGGTGGTGGTGGTGATGGTGGTAGTGGTGGTAGTAGTGGTAGTAGTAGTAGTGGTGGTAGTAGTGGTAGTAGTTGTAGTAGTGGTGATAGTAGCAGTAGCAGGAGTAGTAGTAGTTGTAGTAGTAGCAGTAGTAGTAATAGTAGCAGTAGTAGTAGTGGTGGTGGTGATGGTGGTGGTATAGGTGCCTCAGACGCTTGCGATTCCTCTATGCTGCACCTGAATCTCTACACATGAGTGTAGTATATATACTATGGTGTTTTCTAGTATAGGAGAGTATAGAGTAGAGTATAGCATATAGTATAGAATCTAGTACAGACAATATCGAAAAATGTCTAGTATAGTATATCGTACTACACTATAGTATTATCTCTATAGTGTCTACTATAGAATGTAGTATTGTATACAGTATCGTATGCAGCATAGTGTCTGGTATATTGCAGTACATGGTCTAAAGCTTAAAGTTTGTACTGGAAAGCTTGTAGCCGAACACCTTAAAGTCAATAAGCAAGCACGTATGAAATCACTGAGTGTTTCAAGAACCAATGTTTTTTTATAGAACATCCTGGTGTAGAGAACCCTCTGGCCCCTGCCACATATGAATGAGCCCAACATCATAAAGTCAGTAAGCAAACACATATGAAACCAATGATTGTTTGAAGAACCCGTCTGTTTATGCATAGAATACCCTGGCATAGAGAATTCTGCGGCTCGTGCCACCTATGAAAGAGTGGAGCGCCATCCATAAGCAAACGCACATGAGATCAATGATTGTTTGAAGAACTCAGTCAAGTTACTTCTAGAATATCCCGGTGTAGAGAATCAATTCTGTGGCTCCTGCCACATATGAATGAGCCGAACGCCAAAAAGTCAATAAGCAAACACATATGAAATCAATGAGTGTTTGAAGAACCAATCAGCATTTTTAAAGAATATCCTGGTGTAGAGAATTCTTCGGCCGCTGTCAATATGAATGAGCCCGAACATCACAAAGTCAATAAGCAAACACGAATGAAATCAACGAGTGTTCGAAGAACCAGTCATTTCATGTATAGAATACCCTGGTGTAGAGATTTCTGTGGATCCTGGCGCATATGAATGAGCCGAACATCATAACGTCAATAAGCAAACCCATATGAACCAATGAGTGTTTGAAGAACCCATCAATTTAGTTATAGATTTTTTGGTGTATAGAATTCTGTGGCCCGTGCCACCTATGAATGAGTGGATCGCGATCAAATCCACAAGCCACCACATATGACATCAATGAGGTTTTGAAGAACCAATCATGTTTTTCATAGAAATTCTTGGTGTAGAGAATGTGTGGCTCGTGCCACCTATGCACGAGTGGAGCGCCATCAAATCCATAAGCAAATGCATATGAAATCAATGATAGTTCACAGAACCAAGTACATTTATTTATAGAATCTAATGATGTAGAGAATTCTGTGGCTTGTTGGAGATATGAACGAACAGCATTCCATAAAATCAGCAGGGAACACATATTTTCCAAATCAGAAATCTGAAACATGAACACTAAGCTAGCAGAAGATTCAAAGTGTCAGCCACGTATAAATACACAGTACACAGTATTCTTATATTTATATTCAATCTTTACAATAGGTCTTTTAATACGTAAAGAAAACTATTAGCACCAATCAACAGTACCGCCAGACATCAACCTCAAAAGCAGCCTGCAGCCAAACAACTACGCATTAAGCCAAGATGCACCAATAAGCAAGAGAAAACCACACAGATGCACCAATAAGCTAAACAACAACACATTCGGTCAAGGTGCTGCACATAGCAAAACAACTACACATTCATTAAACCAAGGCGCACCAATAAGCAAGGAAAGCACATATTAAGCCAGAACACAGCAAAAAGCAAAACTACACGTGTGACGCCCGAACGCGCGAATCAGCAAAACAACCGCGTATTATGCCGAGAACTAGAAAATTTCGTTGTTGGTGCTGAGGACATACCCCTGTTCATCAAAAAACGTAACCTTTCGTTGTTTTAAAGCTGCGCACACACTGTCGGATTTACAAACAAATTTTCTCTTTTGACGTTGCAGGCGCATCATGGTTTTCACAAAACTTCTCGACTTTGATTTTGAGAACACAGTAGGGATTACAAAAACCGTTAGTGCCGATGTTAATAACACAGTAAGGTTAATAACAAAAATATTTTTACTGCTGAGGGCACACCAAGGTTTACAACAAAACAGTTCGATTTTGAAGTTGCGCACACACACACACACACACACTATACGGTTTAAAAAAAACTAGGTTTGAACGTTGCAGGCGCGCCATGGTTTACGTACAGCTGTTTGACTTTTGATGTTGAGAACACAGTAGAGTTTACAAAAAGCCTTTCATTTCGATGTTGATAACGCAGTAGGGTTTACAAAAAAGCCCTTGTTCTATTCTATTGTTAAGGACAGGCAACAAAAAACATCAGGCCAAACAAAAGCAATACGTTAAACATGGCTGTCGTGAACCGAGACGGTACGATACTATACTTCTTGGTTTTACTTCCGAATATGTATTGGAAGTATTGTTCTTTCCGATACGGTGCGGTACGGTATTACCCCTTACACCCCTTGCACCCCTTGCACCCCTTACACGCCTTACACCCCTTACACCCCTTACACCCCTTACACCCCTTCCACCCCTTCCACCCCTTCCACCCCTTCCACCCCTTCCACCCCTAACACCCCTTACACCCCTTACACCCCTTTCACACTCCTTACGCTCTGTTTTTTTCGCGTGGAACGTGTGTAGTGATACAAGGCCTTCGTGGGTTTAGAGTTTAGAGTTTAGGGTTTATGGTTCAGAGGGCCCTTCTGTAGCCTTAAACGGCTGTATGCATACATGCAGTGCCATCTCTTCAGCCATTGCATAAAACGACTTCTTGGAGCGATGCAAAAGAACGTGGTGGACGCGCTCATATATCGTTCCATATAATTTTTTTAGTTTTGCTTTACTTTTTTAAGTGGCTATGTAAAAACTAAGCCAAAAGAACCCTAAAGGTCTCAGGCTCATATGTATATATATATATATATATATATATATACATATGTATGTGTGTGTATATATATAGGACGCGTATCGCCCACAATCCACAGAACTCCTACAAAGCCTGAACCCGAAACCGATCCGGACCAGTTGCCTTGCGTGGGTATCTCGGCTCTTTGCTGGTGCAGGGCTGGCCGGGGAACGTCATGAGGGTAGAGGGTTTAGGGTTTAGGGTTTAGGGTTTCGTGTTTAGGGTTTGGGATTTGGGGTTTGGGGTTAAGGGTTTAGGGCACATCATTGTTTCGGCATGCTGCGCATGACGGCACCACCATGATTCCTTCATGTTGTTGAGGTACAGGGCTGTCTCCCAAACGTGGTTTTCCCGGTGCCTCAAGCATGTTTCGGTTTCGGCCGCCCTAAACCCTAAACATCAGACCCTAAACCCTAAACCCTAAACCCTAAACCCTAAACCCTAAACGCTAAACCCTAAACCCTAAACCCTAAACCCTGCACCCTAAACCCTAAACCCCGCATGACGTCCACCGCAGGTGTCCTATGGTGCGTGCATCGGGGCCAGCTTGATGAAGGAAGACCACCCTCCTTTGTGAGCTAGGGCTTTTAGGGTTTAGGGTTTAGGGTTAGGATTCAGGGTTATTAGGTTTAGGGACTAAGCTGCTGTGCCTTAGGGTTTTGGGTTGAGTGTCTGAATTTCTGTATCCCGAAGCTACCCTACACCTCTAAGGGCAGGTAAATCTTCCAAGCTTCTCGCCGTAAACCCCCAAACCCCTAAACCCCTAAACCCCTGAACCCTCGCACCATAATCTTTTCTTGTCAGAAGGACTACAGCGGCCTGCTGGCGGGCGTGGGGGGCGGCCTGTGTGTGGGCATGTTCTTCATGGCCTGCATTGCCCCCTGAAGTCGTTGGTCGGGTCTAGGGTTGAGGGTTGAGGGTTGAGGGTTTAGGGCTTAGGGCTTAGGGCTCAGGGTGCGTTTAGGGCTTCAGGTGTTTCAGTTGGGTGTTGGTTCGCGCTGTAGAGTTTGGGCTTGAGAGCCCTTGGCCTGAATGCGTTCAACAAAGCAAACCCTTTTTTCTCCTATGGTGCTGTGGGCCTAAACCCTAGGCCCTAAACCCTAAACCCTAAACCCTAAACCCTAAACCCTAAACCCTAAACCCTAAACCCTAAACCCTAAACCCTAAACCCTAAACCCTAAACCCTAAACCCTAAACCCTAAACCCTAAACCCTAAACCCTAAACCCTAAACCCTAAACCCTAAACCCTAAACCCTAAACCTTCTCCTGGGCTTTCTTGATAAGCTTCCCGCAGCCGCCAAAAAGCCCAAGGCGCAAGGCGTGAGGAAGTGCGTGTGGAAGTTGCGCGACCGCGACGGGTACCACATCCTGGACAAGGTGCGGGGTTTCCGAGTAATCCCTAAGCCCTAAGCCCTAAGCCCTAAGCCCTAAACCCTAAACCCTAAACCCTAAACCTTAAACCCTAAACCCGAAACCCTAAACCCTAAACCCTGAACCCGAAACCCTTGGCATCTTCCGGGGTCTCTTGTTGGCTACAGGGCCCCCTCGTCTCATGTTGAGGGCAAGCAGAGAAGGTCCCTAAGCTCTAAAACCCTAAACCCTAAACCCTTTATACACCCTAAACCCTAAACCCTAAACCCTAAACCCTAAACCCTAAACCCTAAACCCTGAACCCTAAACCCTGAACCCCAAAGAAGACCGAGCGCCGCAGAAGCCGCTGGGCCGAGGTCATTCGAGGCTCGGCCATGGGCGCCTACGCTTGGAGGCTCCGGAGGGAGGGTTGCGGGTTTAGGGTTTAGGGTTTAGGGTTTAGGAGTTAGGGGTTTAGGGTTTAGGGTTGAGCATTTAGGGTTAGGGTAGAGGGTTGAGGGTTTAAAGGGGAGGGACCTTAGGGTTGAGGATTTCGGGTTAGGGTAGAGGGTTGAGGGTGAAAAGGGGAAGGGTTAGAAACCCTAAGCCCTAAACCCTTAGCCCTCAACCCTCCACCCTCCACCCTCAACCCTAAACCCTAAACCCTAAACCCAAAACCCTAAACCCTATACCCTAAACCCTAAACCCTAAGCTCTAAACCCCTGCCTAGTCAGAACTCGGATGCACCCAAGACCCCCAAAGCCCGAATGCAGAGTCTTAGGGTCCAAAACCGAAACCCTAAACAGCCCTCACCCCTGGGTTCAGGGTTTAGGGTTCAGGGTTTAGGGTTCAGGGTTTAGGGTTTAGGGTTTAGGGTTTAGGGTTCAGGGGTTTAGGGTTCAGGGTTTAGGGTTTAGGGTTCAGGGGTTTAGGCTTCAGGGGTTTAGTGTTGAGTAGTGGGTTGAGGCGTTATAGGGGAGGGGTTAGAACCCTAAACCCTAAACAGCCCTCACCCCTCTTTGGTGGCTAAGGCTGGGGGGAAAGTGCCCTAAACAGTGACCCAAGCCCGAAACCCGAAACCTAAACCGTAAACTAAAGCCAGGCGCATCAGCGTCGACCGAGACGTCTTGCCTTTGGTGGTGACGTGCCTCTTGTTCGCCGCCGTCTTCATGTTTTGGCGCTATGCCCTGCCCTCCAGCAGCTTCTGTTGTAGGATTTGAGGTTTAGGGTCTTAGGGTTTGTTGTTTGGGGCGTTCGTGTTTAGGGTTTGAGTGTCTTGGTTTTCCTTTGGTTGTTTAGGGTATTTTTTGGGAGGGGGAGGGTTTGCGGGTTTAGGGTTGTAGATTTTCTGGCTTTTTCAGTGTTCAAGGTTTTTAGGGTTTAGGGTTTTGGAGTTTCTTTGCTTTGTGGTTAAGGGCTTAGAGTTTTTACTCGGTATTGTAGCGTTTCTGGTTCTCCGGGTCAGTTTTTATAGGCTTGTTGGTATTCTGATCCAGGGTCCAGATTGGTTTGGGTGTCGGATGCCGCGATTCTCGATGGGCTACTTGTCACAAGACCCTGGGGCATGCAGGCATGTAGCACGAAAACCCAGAATCTGCACCCAAATCAGACGCCCAGGTCGCACAAAACTAAACCCTGAGGCTCAAGCCCAAAACCTAAACCCTAAACCCTAAGCCCTAAACCCTAAACCCTAAACCCTAAACGCTAAACCTAGGTCGCACAACCCGCTGCACATCCCGGTGGCGGCCACCGAGGGCATGGGGGTCGCGCTGCTTCTGTTCTTCATGTTCCAGGCCTGGTTTTAAGGGTTTAGGGTTTAGGGTTTAGGGTTTAGGGCTTAGGGTTAGTACAGCTGATGCCCACGGGCGAAACCCTGAAGCCCAAACCTTGACATCCTAAGTCTTTTTTGGGGTTTCACTTTGGAGCCCATCGGTGCCCTTCATATCATATAGTTGCTGGGTTCCCAACCCCAAGCCCTAAACCCGAAGCCCTAAACCCTAAACCCTAAACCCTAACCCCAAACCCTAGACCCTAGACCCTAGACCCTAGACCCTAGACCTTCAACCCTAACCCTAAACCCCAAACCCTAGACCGGGTTAAGGTCAAAGGGTCAAGGGCCTGCGGGATCCTTGTTCAGGGTTTTTGGGCTTCAGGGTTTTAGGAAATTAGGGTTTTAAAGGGTTTACAAGGGTTTCTAAGGGTTTATATGGGTTGAAAGGGTTTTTGGGTTTCAGGGTTTCAGGGTTTTAGGGGTGAACAGGGGTTTAGGGTTTCGCGTTGGCATGTTCTGCTTCTGGGGCAACATCCCAAATTTTCTGGGTTTTAGGGGGTCAGGGTTGTTAGGGTTTAGGATCTCAAGGTTAGGGCTTAGGGGTTCAAGGTTTCAGGTCTTGAGGGTTTCATGGTTTGAGCCCGTTGAAAGTTGTGATCTCAAAGCCCCTTGTAGGGTTCGTACGTACCCTACTTGGAGGTTCATGGTACTTATTCGCCAATTCTAAGTGTACTTATAACCCGCTTATGAGCACCCGAAAAAGTGCCCTAATATGGTGCTACGTACGGTTGTAAGGACAGATAAAAATGGTTAATAAGTGCAGTACCATGAACCTCCAAGTACAGAACAAACATCAAACCCTAAGCCCTAACCCTAAACCCTAAACCCTAAACCCTAAACCCTAAACCCTAAACCCTAAACCCTAAACCCTAAACCCTAAACCTTAAACCCTAAACCCTAAACCCCCTAAACCGCCCTAAACACTTAACCGCCCTAAACCCTAAACCGCCCTAAACCCTAAACCAACCGCCCTAAACCCTAAACCCCCTAAACCGCCCTATATAAACCCTAAACCGCCCTAAACCCTAAACCGCCCTAAACCCTAAACCGCCCTGAACCCTAACCGCCCTAAACCCTAAACCACCCTAAGCCCTAAACCAAAAGCAGCTTCAAGGTCTTCAGTAGTAGGGCTTCACGGCTCCAGGCAGGCCTTCGCAGGCGCGTGTTCTAGCCGAGGGGCCGCTCAGCCCTAAACCCAAAGCCCCCCGCACCGTGGAGCCGGTTTAGGGTTTAGGGTTTAGGGTTTAGGGTTTGGGGTTTGGGGTTTAGGAAGTTTAGGGTTTAGGGTTTAGGGTTTGGGGTTTGGGGTTTGGGGTTTAGGGTTTAGGGCTTGGGGTTTAGGAAGTTTAGGGTTTGGTGTTTGGGGTTTACGGTTTAGGGTTTGGGGTTTAGGGTTCAGGGTTTAGGGTTTAGGGTTGAGGAATCAGCCGTCAATCCGCGGCGCCAGAAGGTCAACTTGCTGGGTATGCTGCACGGGAACTTCTTCATCTTTCGCAGGACGCAGCTGCTGGCCACAACCGTGCCTTTTCTCCCCACTAAACCCGAAACCCTGAACCCTAAACCCTAAACCCTAAACCCCAAAACCCGTCAAACTCCAAAAGTCATCAACTCCCGAGGAGCCTCAAGCCAACATGCCCTGAAAGCCATTCGGACACCCAGCTTCTGGAGTTTCGGGCTGGCCTCCAAGAGGGTCTTCGGGTTTAGGGTTTGAGGGTTTTTTGGGTTTAGGGTTTAGGGTTTAGGGTTTAGTGTTTAGGGTTTAGTGTTTAGGGTTTAGGGTTTTGTGTTTAGGGTTTAGGGTTTAGGGTTTAGTGTTTGGGTTTAGGGTTTAGTGTTTAGGGTTTAGGTCAATGCGAAGTCCTCACCGGCAGAGGTGCTCTTCTCATGCGCGACGGCCGGCTCCATCATTGGCTGGAAGTCGACCGGGGAATGCGACGGGATGATCCGGGGCTGCAGAAACGCTTGGGGTTTAGGGTTTAGGGTTTAGGGTTTAGGGTTTTGGGGCTTCAGTGCTTCAGGGCTTCATTTGTTCTGTGCAGGGCTGATCGCTTTCCTAATAAGGTATGAGGGAATGGTACACCTTATATCCCTGGTGAGAATGGGCCAACTGCGGAGAGCCATCTGACTTTTTTTTTTTTCCACCCCACGCTGCTTGAGGCGGCTCTTGCCTACCCTAACCTATTCCGGGGTTGGGGTTCAGGGTTTAGCGTTTAGGGTTTAGGGTTCAGGGTTCAGGGTTCAGGGTTTCGGGTTTAGGGTTGAGGTATTAGACCATTTTGCAACAAGCGGATGGGTTCCGGATACACAATTGACGTTTTCTGAACCTTAGCCGCTCACAGAGTTGGCTCTTTCGGGGGGGGGGGGGGGGGGGGGGGGGAAGGGGGGCGTATCACCGAAATGCGGTCCAGGATGCGGGCGAACGACCTGGGTCGCCTGTGCTACGGTTTAGGGTTTTTATGGGGTTAAGGGTTTAGGGTTGAGGGTGTCGGAGGGATTTGTGTTGCTGCCTTAAAACCTGTCCCCCTAAACCTCAAATCCTAAACGCCAAACCCAAACCCTAAACGCAAACCCAAAACTCCAAAAACCCTCAGTCAAGCTCAAACCCCCAAACCCCAAACCCCAAATCCCAAACCCTAAACCCTGAACCCTAAACCCTAAACCCTGAACCCTGAACCCTAAACCCTAAACCCTAAACCCTAAACCCTAAACCCTAAACCCTAAACCATTCAGGATCGGCCTCGGAGCCAATCTCGGTTTCTTGTCGGGCGTGCTCATCATCAGCACTGTCACGCAACACTGGGTCCATGCTCTGGCAAACATGCCGCTTGGCTTAGGGTTTAGGGTTTAGGGTTTAGGGTTTAGGGTTTCGGGTTTCGGGTCTCGGATCTCTTGTCTCGGGTTAGGCCTGAAAGGGCTTGGGCGTCCTAAGCCCCGTGCAGCCTGAAGCGCCCCTATACCCTGAATCCTCCAGGGTATGGTTAGGGTTTAGGGTTTTGGGTTTGGGGTTTAGGGTTTAGGGTTTAGGGTTTGGGGTGGGCTTTGGGGCGTTTGACGCACCCGCCTCACCGCAGACCCCGATCCTCAAAAAAGCACGGTGTGCCTTGAGTAGCCATGTTGTGGGCCTGGTTCTAACCCCTGAGTCCTGAACCCGAGACCACAAACCCCACAAGCCCCGCAAACCCTACAAACCCTATAAACCCTATGAAACCCTATAAAACCCTAAGAAACCCTAAACACCCTATAAAACCTATAAACCCTATAAGCCCTCTAAGCCATTTCAGCCCTATAAACCCTACAAACCCTTAAAACCCGAAACCCGAAACCCTAAACCCTAAAAGCCCTAAAAAACAAGTAAACTCCAAGCTTGGCCTTGACAGGGAGGGCTTGGCGACTGTGAGGTTTGGGGTTTAGGGTGTAGGGTTTAGGGTTTAGGGCTGGTACCATATTTGGGCCCTTATTATATGGGGATCCTACTATTTTGGGATCTATACTGGGGGTCCCTGCTTCTCGGAACCCCCCAATACGATAACAAGGCTACCTCTTCTTGGGGGGTGGACCTTGAACCAACACTTTTCTCCCCTTAGAACCTTTATAAAAACCCTAAACCCTAAACCCTCATCCCTAGACCCTAAACCCTAAACCCTGCCCTTATAATAAGGCCCCTAAACCCTATAAACCCTATAAAAGCCTATGAACTCTAAGCCCTACAAAGCCCTATAAACCCTATAAACACCTATAAAACCCTATAAAACCCAAGCGCTGTAAGCCCTTGCAAGGCTGATGATCGGCATCATGCTCCTGGCGCGGTATCTCAGCCCCATCCTGTGGCGGGAGCCGCGCAACCCTGAACCCTAAACCCTAAACCCTAAACCCTAAACCCAAAACCCTAAACCCTCAACCCTAAACCCTAAACCCTAAACCCTAAACCTAAACCCTCAACCCCCAAACCCCCCAAAACCCCAAACACCCCAAGAGCCCTAAACCCCTAAACCAGCGCAACAAGCCTCGGTGGCCCTCAGAAGTTTAAGCCTGGCAGCCTTACTACATGATCGCTTTCCTACAATTGGGGTCCTTTCATGGGCTTGGGATTCGGGGTTTCGGGCTTAGGGCTTAGGGCTTGGGGTTCGGGGTTCGGGGTTCGGGTTTAGGGCTTCGGGTTCGGGGTTTCGGGTCTCGGATTTAGCAAAAGCGGGGCCCTGAGGATGTTTTGTCGTGCCCAAGTAGGGACCTTCACTTACCGAAACGGCCTCACGTGTTGGTCGATTTCGCAGGTAGCCCCAACTCAGAACGGCCAGTACCCGGAGCCCTGCTCCTGCTTAGGGTTTAGGGTGTAGGGTTTAGGGTTTAGGGTTTGGGGTTCAGGGTTCAGGGTTTAGGGTTAAAGGTCAACCTTACAACCCTGAACTCCAGCCCTAAGCCAGCCATAGCCTACGCAGCCCCATAGTAGACCTTCCGCAAATCCCAAGGGCGGAAGACGTCTTTTTGCCCAAAAGGCCGGACCCCTAAAGCCTAAACCCTAAACCCCAGACCCTTAAGAGACCCCTTGAAAACTCGGATCCCTACAGTGTCCAACGTCTGACGGCCCAAAACAGAAAGCACCACATGCCCTAAACGAGTGTCCTTACAGTCGCAGGAAATCTTTCTCTAGAAGCCCTAAACCCTAAACCTTACAACCCTAAGCCCTAAGCCCTAAACCCTAAACCCTATACCCTAAACCCTAAACCCTACCCCCCTAAACAGGAGTACTTCCTCATCCTCTGCGGGAGCATTGGTCTCCTGGTCTTGCCGGACTGGCGGCACTGGCAGCGAGGCTGGCGGGAGGACGGGTGGGCATAGGAAACCTTGAATCTAGCCCCTCAGCCCGCAGCCCTCAGCCCTAAACCCTAAACCCTCAACCCTAAACCACTCTATCATACACGTTAATGACTTTGCAGGCAAGCTCATATATTCATTGGGCAAGGTCATACAAAGCAGCGGGCGAGGTCAGAAAGTCAGTGGGCAAGGTCCGTCGGACCCATGACGTTGCCCAATCTGTACATGGCCTTGCCCACTGTTTATATGACCTTGCCCGCTCTTTGTATGACCTTGCCGGGTTTTGGGTTTAGGGTTTAGGGTTTAGGGGTTAGGGTTCCCCGAGCCCGAAATCCGGAACCCTGGCACACGCTCCCTGCCAGGCCTGATGCTGCTTATCGCCCTTTCGCTTCTGGGCCAGAAGGGATGGAAGGAAGGCTCTAACCCTAAACCCTAAACCCTAAACCCTAAACCCTAAACCCTAAACCCTAAACCCTAAACCCTAAACCCTTAACCCCAAACCAGCCTGAACCCTACACCTTAAACCCTACGTCCCTAACCCCTGAACCCTTAAGCCCTTAAACCCTTAACAAAAACCTTAGACCTCAAACCCCTAAACCCTACCAAGAGTGCAGGGTTCAGGGTTTAGTTCCTGCTTTGAGGCCTGGGCGTTGCTGATTACAGGTCAGAAATTTGAAGTCTTTGCACCCTAAGCCCTAAACCCTAACCCTAAACCCTCAACCCTCAACCCAAAACCCTCTTATGCAAGCCTGTGCGTTCTGTTTTCGAACTGCGGGTTCATTAGTTTATGTAGGTACCTCGTCCCTCATTCCCAGCCAGCAGTTCAGATCAGGTCCCTACTTGGACTGGAGATGATCTACCTGCTCTTCGACCGGAACAGCGGCTACGACGCTTACTTCTCCAGCAGCCGAACTTTAAGCTTTTTGGGTTTCCTTCTCTAGTAGGAAGTAGTGAACTTTAAACTTTTTGCGTTTCCTTCTTTAGTAGGAAGTAGCCAACAGCTGAACTTTAAGCTTTTTGGGTTTCCTTCTTTAGTAGGAAGTAGCCAACAGCTGAACTTTAAACTTTTTTGGGTTTCCTTCTTTAGTAGGAAGTAGCCAACAGCTGAACTTCAAACGTTTTGGGTTTCCTTCTTTAGTAGGAAGTAGCCAACAGCTGAACTTTAAGCTTTTTGGGTTTCCTTCTTTAGTAGGAAGTAGCCAACAGCTGAACTTTAAACTTTTTTGGGTTTCCTTCTTTAGTAGGAAGTAGCCAACAGCTGAACTTTAAACGTTTGGGGTTTCCTTCTTTAGTAGGAAGTAGCCAACAGCTGAACTTTAAACTTTTTGGGTTTCCTTCTTTAGTAGGAAGTAGCCAACAGCTGAACTTTAAACTTTTTTGGGTTTCCTTCTTTAGTAGGAAGTAGCCAACAGCTGAACTTTAAACGTTTTGGGTTTCCTTCTTGAGTAGGAATAATAAACCCTAAACCCTAAACCCTAAACCCTAAACCCTAAACCCTAAACCCTAAACCCTAAACCTTAAACCCTAAACCCTAAACCCTAAACCTCCCTTGGTTATTGGAGAAGTAAGGACGTGCTCTTCTGCCGGTCCAACATGGCCAGCATCGCCAGCGTCTACATGATGCATCACAGCCACAGAGCCGTCAACGCTACGGTGTAGGGTTTAGGGTCTAGGGTTTAGGCTTAGGGTTTAGGGTTTTCCCCCTGCTCCCCTGCATCTCCCCCCACCCCTGCCCCCTACCCCCAAAATTCAAGATTCAATACTCAGGAAACAACCTTCCCCACTACACCCTAAACCCTAAGCCCGAAGAGCCTAAACCCCAAACCCTAAACCCCAAACCCAAACCCTAAACCCCAAACCCAAACCCTAAACCCTGAAAATCAGGGCGGACGGGGGGTTCGCAAGCCCAAAGATGGCAGTGTTCATGGGTTCCCCTACTACATAGCCTTAAGTAGGCTTACTTATCCCTATCCCTCAATAGCCTTAACTATCCCTAAATGGCCTCAGCTATTGTAGGGGAACCCATGCAATCTGACAAAAGCGCGCGCCTCGCGAGCCAAGAGCCGTTTCGTTCTCCTCTCCCAGGCATCTTAAGGGGGTTTAGGGCTTTGGGTTTTAGGGTTTAGGGTTGAGGGTAACCCTAAACACTAACCCCTAAACCCTGAACCTTAGTTCCTAAACTCAAAGCCTTAGACCCCAATGTAAAATTGCAGTCCTGACGTCTGAAAACGGAAATGCCAGCCTATGGGCATAAGCCGTGTTGCCTGCCGGCTTCTCACACTGCCACCCTAAACCCTAGACCCTAAACCCTAAACCCTAAACCCTAAACCCTAAACCCTAAACTGTAAACCCTATCTTTTTTTAGTTCGCTTTGCTTTGCAGGGTTCGCCCTTGTATCAGCTTTTTGCGGGTGGACAAGAAGAGGGTGCCCTTTTCATTGCCCGACAACCCTCAACCCTCAACCCCAAGCCCTAAACCCTAAACCCTAAACCCCAAACCCCAAACCCTTAACCCTAAACCCTAAACCCTAAAGGTGATTTAGCTTACGAGGTCTTTCAGGGTGTAGGGGCTTGGGGTTTTGGACCAGAGTGTGCGAGCTTTGACCATGCGGGCTGCTTTGAAACTGGGATCCCTTTTAGGGTTTAGGGTTTAGGGTTTAGGGCTTCGGGCTTCGGGTTTAGGGTTTCGGGTTTAGGGTTTATAGTGTTTAGGATTTTAGGGTTTAGGGTTTACGGTTTAGGGTTTAGGATTCACGGGTTTAGGGTTTAGGGTTTAGGGTTAAGGTCAAAACCCTGATCTCTCCGAAAAAACACCCAGGAGTCTCCCGAACGCTGTGCGGAATTCCTCCGCGGCTACGAGGCGCATATGCCCAGGCGCCGGAGATGGGAGCCACTTGGGGGTCTCCAAGGGGTTTAGGGTTTAGGGTTCAGGGTTTAGGGTTTAGGGTTTAGGGTCAAGGGTCAAGGGTTTAGAGTCCTTAATAAGGTCCCTTCCCTTCTTTACCGGGTTCCGATGTATGGCCCCAAAAATTTTTTGGGTGTACAAGGGGTATATAAGTTATAGGATTCTGAAGGGAGGGGGGCCTCAAGGGGGGGTAGGTACCTAGGGAGCCTTAGGGAAGCCTAGGGAGCCTTAGGGAGTAGCAGGGAGTACTAGGGAGCCTTGGGTTACATACCCCTCCGAACCCCGCTTCCTTGAGAACCCTATAAGTACGGGGTCCCCTTTTAAGGGCCCATTGTTGCTTGTCAAAATTTGCGGGCTTCAGGTTCTTTATTCAGCTGGGATCTGAGGGGGTCAGGGCTGAAGGTTCAGGGTTCAGGGGTTTGGCTCAGGGCCTTCCGGTCATGTACTTTAGTGGAGCTTAGGCCTTAAAACGCTACACCTTGAACCCAAGCAGCTTCAGGTTTGGCCCCCCACCCTAAACTTTAAACCCTAAACCCTCAACCCTACAAATTTCGGGTTTTAAGGTTTCAGGGTTTTCAGTCAACTCTGCGAAAACTCGACAGAAATATGCTGAACCCTAAACGTTGTTCAGGCTCTTATTCCGCCCCTGAAGACCTGAACCCAAAGCCCCAACCCCAAATCCGAATCCCGAAACCCTAAACCCTAAACCCTAAACCCTAAACCTTAAACCCGAAGTAAAGCCTTTCTAGCAAAGCCCTGGAAACAGTTAGGATTGCTCATGCCCGTCGGGATGTTAGCTACCCCCACACCCCACATATCATATATCTAATCATATATCTTATCCCTACTCCCCCTAAGGTAGTTCTCTTCCCAACGGGCACGATGGGGTTGATAGAATTTATGGGATTTTGGGTGATTCAGGGCTTGGGTCGTAGAGTGACTCTTTTTGCATTTTTGGTGAGCCCATGACTTGGACTCTACTGCGGCACGGCTTTCAATTCAGCAGACTTTCTTTTTCATGCCGCTGAAGGGTGTTGTCAGCCTCGGTGGTGCATCGCATCAGCACAGGAGCACACATGGCAGTTTTTCGGTGTGTCTAGGGAAACACCCTTAACGCAGAATGCTTCCGAACTTAAGTAAGCTGTGTCGTTGATCGAGCCATGGCGTGGAAAAGCAAAACCGGTGCGAAACAGTGGCTGTTCCTCGCCGTGGGCTTTGTGCTGACCCAGCCGGTTTTTGTGCCTCCGCCGGAGGCTTGGGAGTGGGAAGACATACTATGCCGGGAATGAAAAAGGTTTTTTTGGCAGTTGTTGCTTCCGGCTCGTGTTTGCATTAGCCCCTTCAGGTGGGATTGGGCGCGCGCCGAAACATTCCACTGTGTGGTGCAGTGGTGCACATGCATCGTGGCAGCGCCGGAGCGAGTGTCAGCAGATGTGTCTGCGCAGGAAGCTGCTCAGACCTTTGTCCAAACCGTGGGTGACAGCAGGGATTTTTTGATAGCCTCAGCGGCTGCCTTTTGGACTTATCGGCAGGTTCAGGAAGCAGAACGAGCCACAGCAGAGGCAGAACGAGCCACAGCCGAGGCAAAACGACAGGCAGAAGAGGCGTTCAAACCGTCCGATGAGTACAAGGTCCAACGTGCAGTCGCCAAGTTCATGGAGCCTTTCGTCCCAAAGACCCCCAAGCGCAAGGTCATCCACAGGAAGGTCATGGACACCATCGCCAACAGGGTCCAAATAGTGGCGTAGATGTTTATGGTGACCTTTCATATACTGGGTCATTAATTCCTTCATCAGATAAAAGATTAAAGAAAGATATTAAAGAGATAAATAGTAAAAAAAGCAGTAGAACCAGTAAAATATATTAAGCCCCAAAACAGATCATTTTGTTGACGACAGACTACAAGGTAAATCATGTTGTGGCTTTATTGCTAATGATTTTTTGGAGAATCCAAAAGATGCCAAATGAATGGCAGAATCTAGTAAAGGAAGGAACAGATGGCTATTTGAAGTTTGACTACACAAGTTTCGAGGTTGAGACTCCAGGGTTCAAGGTATAGGATGCGGTCCATGCAGAACAGCCAATGTTTCGGTCTTGATGATTGGATGCATGACTGTGTTTCTCCATAGTGATGCGAGCTACTTTCCACGCAGCAAGAGCCATGGGGGGTTTGCAAAGGGAAGACAGCGAGTGGGTGCAACATTTCAGCAACTTTCTCACGGAAGACTGGTTGTAAAGATTTCGGACTTATAGGGCCCCCCGAAAAGATGGCATCTGTAAAATCGGGGAAAAGATGGCACACGCGACCTAATTTTGAGGGGTTTGGGGGGGGTGGGGGGTCGTTCCGACCAAAAACCAGGATGCCATCTATGCGTGTGTGAGGTCTCTCACGCGACACCTCAAGACATCGCGGAGCCTCGAACCCCAACCCCCAAACCTGCCCCCCCACCCCCAATTGCGAAGATCTTTCAAAGAAAGAGAGAGAGAGAGAGA